TATAAAGGAGATGAGGACACGACACAGGGATGAAGGTTTGCTGACCATCACAGGGTTTGGAAGCTCAACTGACAAGGTCATGGGCTTGAAAACGCTTTCAAAAACCTCCCTCCCTTGGAAATGCTTCTCCTCATCTCAGCCAGGTGCCCACCTGCACATGCACAGTGACTCCACCTCTGTGATTTTTTCCCTGTGTTCTTATGACACCCCAGTGCTGCAGCAGGAGCTCCAATGTGGCTCTGCATGCATCTGAGTCAGTATTAAAAAAAAAAAAAAAAAAAGCAAAATAGCGAGGGGTTGGTTGATCCCTTGCTTGCAGATAGCCCTGAAAGGCAGAGAAAAGGCATCACAGATTTGCTTTGCCTTTCATATGTGTGCCCTGTGCACACCTTGGATGTCCTTCCCTTTATTTAAATCCATTCTCACCATGTCAAGGGGCCAGTGTTTGTTTCATCACTCTTTGAAGTCACCACTCCTGCAGTCTCACCCTCTGTGACCAGCTCTGGTTGCAGAACATCCTGGCTGCTGTTTGTGGGGTGGTGGTTCAGCAATTAGGGTGTCTCTGCCCCATCAGCCCCCCTTCCTCCCATTTCTACCCCTCTAAGGGTGATTGTACAAGGCTGGGAGCCACAGCCAGGGTGGTGGATCCAGACCTGAGCTATCCAGGTCATAGAATGGCAGGATATCCTGAGCTGGAAGGGACCCACAAGGATCATCCAGTCCAACTCCTGGCCTTGCACAGGACCATGCCCAAGAATCCCACCATGTGCCTGTGAGTGTTGTCCAAATGCTTCTTGAGCTCTGGCAGTCTTGGTGCCCTGACTACTTCCCTGGGGAGCCTGTTCAGTGCCCAACCACCCTGTGGGTGAAGACCCTTTTCCTAACATCCAACCTAAACCTCCCCTGACACAGCTCCATGCTGTTCCCTCAGGTCCTGAGGAGAAATCGGTGCCTACCCTTCCACTTCCCCTTGTGAGGAAGCTGTAGCTGCTTTTCCAATGGATTTTGGAAACAAACCGCCTGCCATTCCCTTTCCTTCAGATCCACAGCTGTACAGTGGCAGTGTTCCAGTTAAGGTGATGCTCCCTGGGCACGGAGCAGGATCCTGCAGTGCTACACAAACATAAGAAAGGGAAACTCTGGCTCCAACAAACTTGCAAGATCATTTGAAGACAGCAGCAAGCAACAGGGTAACGAGGTACCTGCTGAGCCCTTTTCCCTGGCTTTATAACCTCTTCACCCATCCACACCAGTGAACACACGGACCACGGGAGCAGCAAAGGACTCAGACACAATCTGCCTTTGGGATAATTAGTACCAACATCCCTGTCTCAGCCCTGGCCCTGGCTGGGATGTGAGAGCCACACCAAGGAAGCCTTTAAAGTGCCTGGAGCCGCTGCAGACAATGGGAAGGCGGGATCCCTGGGAGGGCTGCAGGAGGAGAGGAGGAGTTGCCGCTCCACAACCCATCAGTTCTTCAGAGCATAAGGACGTCTTTGTTTGCTTCTCCTTCAGCCTCCTGTTACCCACAGGGGGAGAGGCAGGAGACGGCACAAACCTGGGGTTTTCAAACATTCTCTGAGTCAGATGCAGTGGGAGGGGAGGAGGAAAGCATTCCCACAGCCAGCCAGGCGGGAACAAACAGGCTGGAGAGTGTGCAGCACTTGGCTTGGCCCGGAGCAGACATCTCAACCTGATAAACACAACTGCCCCGTGCAAACCCTTAGGGATTTTGGGGTCTGCTTGGTTATGTCTCCCACAAGATCCATCGGGCAGCACCTTGCCTGGAGGCAGCATCACCCACAGCCTCGTGTCAGTGCAGAATCGTGGTGGGGGCTGGAGGTTTTCCTCCTCACAGCCAGAGATGTGCAAACCAGTCAGATTACTGCTGGCCCAGGCACAGCCTGCCCCAAACCACCCCAACCTCAGGGTGTCCCCTTGCTGTGCTGTCCCTTCCCCAGCTCCAGCCTGTGTCGAGGTTGGAGCACATGGAAAAGTTTTCCCAACCCTGGGTCTGCTCTGAAAAGTAGTGTCCCCAATAAATTTACTCAGACTTTTGTCAATTTGGGGATTTTTTTCCCTCCACAAATTGTTTCAGACAGAAATTTTAAATTACAGCAAGTGTCTCCCCCCACCCCCTTTTCCTCCTTCACAGTTGTTGCATGGGACTGGAATTACCTGAAAGTTGGGATTTCATCCAAATGTCAGGAGGGAGAAGGCAAAAATGCCATTAATTATCTCCAATTGCTTTTATTTATCAGGGCTAAAGGAGCAACTGGAAGCTAAACAGACCTGTGGGCAAGTAAGTTCAAAGGGGCTGCTATCATTTAGTGGGTGAAGTGATAAGGAGCTTTAGCATGAGGTTGAATTTAAGGTGAAGCTGGCAGAGAGCTCCAGGACTCTTTTCCCAGGGCAGAAGGAAAAGCTGAAGAAAACTGAGCCGCTTTGGCTAAACTCAGTCAAATATTGCAACGACTGTTTTTAACTTGCAGGCAGCTTGAAGGCAGCAAAAGCATCTTCAAACCTGAAGGAAAGGATCTCGTGCCTGAAATCTTGCCTGATTTTTTCCAACTATATCATCTAGTCTAATAAAAGACAATAACTCCTCCTCCCAACCTTGCCTTGCTCAGAGCCTGAAAACACCAGAGCTTCAACAATGCTCCTGTAACAAAGGGAATGAGTCATTCATCAAAGCATGCATTTGGGGGGGAAAAAAAAAAATCTGCATATTCATTTATTCTGGTATTTGGCTAAAAAGATCTGGTTTACCTGTACAAAATTATATTAAAAAAAAATTAAAAATGTACAAAAACCCAAAAACCCAACCCATGGCTTCTTGAAATTCAAAGTCTGGGTGAAATGGGCTAAAAGACATATTTTGGGCATGAATAACGTAATTTTCCAGCCATAGGCAGAAGAGTGGAAACAAAGGAGTTGCTGAAGGATTACAGCTAGAGCAAGCTCTGGGGAAATCATTTCAACAGACAGATGGATGTAAGGACACCCAAATGTCAGGAAACGGCACCCGAAAACTGACAGTATCCAGATTTCCTGAGCATGCCGGGCAATGAGGAACCTGCTGCAATTTCATACCACAAATACGGATCATCTGCATATAAAAAAAGAAAGCCACATGTGTTGAGACATTTTCTGGAGTGACAGAGATGTGCTGACCACAAGGTGGGCATGCTGTCAGATGCAGAAGTTTAGCAACACTCCAAAACCCCTTTTTAAAAATGGCTTTCATAGATATGGCCTCTCTTCTGCAGGGAAAGCAGAATCTGTGCCTTCAAAGACATTTCCCTGGCTCTTCATAAAGCTTTTTTGGTTTTTTTTTGAAAGGGTGATCCGTGTTGATTTGTACCTCTAAACACTGGGGGGATGCTCCCAGGACCAGCACAGCGTGGAATTGCAGCAAGTTCCTCCTCCAAGACGAGGCTGCTGCTGCCTGAACAAGGTGTCTTTGCCCCAGCACCTGAAGAATAGTGGGGGTTTGGAAGCTTCAGTGAATCTTAATTGCACCCGTCCAAAAGCAGTGACCTCAGCTCTGCTAACCATAAAACACCGCTCGCTGCTCGGGCTTAATGGTGTGTGGCCTGCCAAGGAATCCTTTCTCTCCCTTTCAGAGACAATCTGTGGGAATTTATTGGCTTTTTAAAGCTGTCTGATCCTTCACTGAAGGAAACTAATGGAATATCAATGACACCAGGTATTTGTCACAAGTATCATTTATGGAGGAAATATGGGTCTGGCTCAGGAGGGCCCTCCTGCACACGGTTAACCGATTCCACACTCAGGTCCAGGCAGCAGCTGGGATCAAACCCAGGCTTCTCTGCAGCTGCAGGCTTATCAGCCACTACCAAACACAGAAAAGCAAAGAGCATTCCTAATTCAGTTAACTAATTCAATTTAAAACCCCAATGAGGACAAGGCAGTTTGAATTTTCATGGGAGGTTGAATTCAGGACAACACCTTCGCAAGCAGGAAAGAAGAGCCTTTGGTTGATTTTGAGCACCTTTTCAAAATAACAGGTCAAAAAAGTAATTTAAAAGAGATGAAAACGTTAATTTTCCCACTTTTTATTGGCATCTCCATTTTTTTCAGCTCTCTTTTCACTCAACTACACCCTGTTTGGTGAAAGGTCTGCTCTTTCTTCGTCTTCTTTTTCTGACAGGTTAAGAGTTATCTAAAAGAAAATGCTGTCTCAGAAGTGCTGTGATAGACTTGAGGCTTCAGTTTTTAAGAGGAAAAAAAAGCTTTATACACACACCATATGTTTATGGGGTCATCTAACCCCTGTGGAGGACTCGAGCCTGCTGTGTCAAGGTCTCACCCCACAGGGTAGCATCAGCCATCAGGTCCCCAAATGCTGAGATGTGCAAACATCCAACACTCAGACTCTGGGCTTTGGGGCACAAACCTGCTTTCAGGTTTTCTCACCAGCATTAAATCCAGCCTGGGTTGTCGAAAGCCTGCAAAGGCCTGTGCCCAGTGATGAGTCTTTCTGCAACATGGGGAAAAAACTGGTCTTAAAAACATGAAATGTGCCAGAAAGGAATAAGCAACATGGCTCATTCCTCACATTTTTCGGAGCAGGGTTTGAATAACAGAGGGGATGGTGGCAAAGGGAAAAAAAAAAAGGCCACTTTTGTACTCAACGACTGCAGAAATGTTTAAGTACCCGAAGCTTCGTGTTAAATTAGTGCAAAACACGGTGATTTGCTGCAGGGTTTGAATTTCAGCTACTGCAAACCTCTCTCAGGGGAGAAGTGAAAGGGAAAGCGCAGGTCCTGAGCCTGAAAACAGTGAATAAATTAAGCCCGGGATCCTTTAACCCCAGGAGTGTGTCAGGAGAAGCCTCCATAGGAAGGCAGCGGGAATTTCCCGCAGAGCTTTGACAGCACAATTAACAGCGGGGCTTGATCGGGCAGGGAACGGGAGCAGGAGCGAACGTAGCCGGGGGGGTATTATTTGTTGGCTCATGTGCCACTGAGCTGCAAAAGCCTCTGGCGCTTGTATTTGCTTAGACCTCACTTAAACCGTGGTGATCTGTCCCCCGAATTTAACCCCCGGGCTGAGGCATCGCTGCCACCGCTCACATCCATCCCCCAGCCCGCAGGGAGCTGCTCCTGCCTTGCCTGCTGAGCTCCCGGTGCTTGTCCGGGGCTGTGATGGGAGCGGGGATGGCCCGACATCTCCGACTCCCTTAGCACCTCTGCTCCTTCGAAAATTCTCAGAAACGAGCTACAGACCCAAATTATGGCAAAAAAAAAAAGAGGGTTCAAAAGGTAATTTTTTTTTTTTTTTCCTGGAGTCAAATGGTGTAGCTGTGGATTTCGTAGAGCGATCCCTAAATCCAAGCCCAGCAGTGCTGCAGATTCACATCTGAGCTGTCACTAGGTCTGTCTGCAGGACGTGCTGGCAGCTCCTGGAACACAGAGCAAGAGAGAAGGAGGCAGAGAGCGAGCAGGAGGGAGACGTGCTGCAGATACTTGCACACTAGAACATCACATGAACATGTTTAGTATTTTTCCAGAGGAAAATATCATCCAAGAGGCATAATTATATCTTAGGTTCCCCTTTTTTTTTTTTTTTTTTTAAACAGGGCTTTTTAAACAGTTGCTTTGCTTCATTCTTCTCCTTTTTCTATTTTCGAATTACAGCGTTTGCAGAAACAGGAGGAGGAGGACAGTTAACACAAGAGAGAAGACACGGGTGCTTGAGAGGGAGAGAGATTGCTGCTGCTTCGTATCATTCCTCGAAGTGTTCAAGGCAAGGTTGGACGGAGATCTGAGCAACCTGGTCTAGTGGAAAGTGTCACTGCCCATGGCAGTGGGCTGGAACTGGGTGATCTTCAAGGTACCTTCCAACCCAAACTGTTCTAGGATTCTGTTATTCAAAAGCAGATAAATTTAGGCCTTATTCTGCAAACTGGCTCCGCCATGGTAGCTCACAAAGGGATTCTGGCTTGACGATCTGTCAAAAGACAAGACCTTGGGAAGAGAGAACTTCTCCTCATTCCCACCATTCCCAAAGTGTCCACAGCTCAAAATTTCCCCAGGGATATCCACAATAATTTGACTGAAGCAACTCAGGTAAGTCCATCCTGGCTGGTGAGATGTTCACCCATGGTCACCATGGGTGATGTTCACCCTCTTCCCGACCATCCCCCAGAACTGCTTTGTGCTGCTCCACTGGCTCAGGGCCACGGCTGGATGGCAGCAGCCCATCCACCTGATGCCAGAGGAGCTGGGAAGACAGCATGTTTTCACAAGTAGAAGTGCCCAAAGGCATCTAAGTTGCCACACTCAGTCCTTCTAGGCTGTCACCACAGTAACAGGGGGGCTTCCCAAAAATAATCAACAATAGGATTACGAGCCACTCGTTTGTCACACTGTAATTAGCAGCTACTTAACGTTTTGGTTGATAAATTAAATACCCAGCAGGCACTGGTAGTGGGTGTTCCAGAGGGGAGTCTTGCATGATGCACCTTGTCCTTGGTCACCTGTGGGGATCTGTGGCGTGTGGAGGAGAGATTCCCTTCCCAGTGTCAGGATGCTTTCTGTCCTGAAGCATGAGATCTGATTATAGCAGAGAACCACGAAAGCTATTATAGGTCATAAAGTCACTGAGGTATAAAAACCTCTATTTACTGACTGAGACCCCAGCTCTAGTCCTTGCCTCTTGTGGCACAGACACCTTCCAAGTAGGAATTTCTCACTTTTTATTCTCCAGGCATGGAGAGGGTGATGTTTTCAGCAATGGTTTTATTGCTCATCTGACAGCGTTAACCTTTTCAGTGAGGACATTCACCCATCCACCAGTCCTAGAGGGATGGCATTGACTGAAATTAGCTTTGCACTTCAGGATTTGTCAAACTGCAATTTTGCTAAGTGCTCTACTGGTGGCAAAGTGACAGTCCCGACACAGCTGATGCCATGACCCACTGGCTTCAAAGCAGTGTGAGCAGAGCCCTTGGTCCCTTCATCCCCTCAGGATTTGCATCTACTGAGGTATATGTCATAATCATTTTTTATTTTTTTAGCATGATACTTCTTTTCTTACATTTGCTGAGAATTTTAAGCTGAGCCTGGATCACGTTTTCAAATTTTCTTCCATATTTACAAGGCTTGAAAGCCCTTTTTTATGTCTACGCTTACTTGCTTCACCAAGCATCAGAGTCAGCACCAAGTCTGGGGATGGGGAACACAAGGCCCAGGTATTTCAGGTCTCACAGTAAAATCAGGAGAGACAGCAGCACAAATAAGCTGCAGGGTTGCAGCAAGGACAGGGAGAAAGGTCTTCTCATGCTGTCCTGTAGAGGAGAAGGAGCCCAGTGAGTGCAGTGGTTTGGGGCCCTGACATAGCCAGACTGAGGGCTGAAAGGGCACGATGCCAGCTGGTCCAGAAAATATTGAATAGAATCAGATCTCCTGGTCCTTCCAGTACAGACACCTCGTGCCATCACACAGGATGGTGCTCAGAGCCTGCAGAAGCCACCAGGAGAAAATCCCACTGATCTCAGCTCGTAGAGTGTTTAGTCTTGTTCCTAAATCCACACCTCAGTGTCAGGCACTGTAAATTGCTGGAAGATCCCAGCCTGGGTGCCCAGAAAAGAGGTGCCCTTTCCTTGTACGTCGACAGCCACTCTCAGAGAGGCACCACTGGGACATGACACCACTGAAACACACCTGGCTGATGAACATTCGTGGTGAATTAAACCCCCACTGCCCTCCTGTTTTCTCTGCAAATGTCCCATTAGGATCCGAGCAACAGTCACAGTCAAGAACGCAAAGACAATTATGCGCTGGAATTTAAACAAACCATTAATTACCAAGACACTCTGGCAGATGATGGCTCCAACAATGCTTATTACAAGAACCTTCATCAAATTATCTGCTCTTTCATGTAAGCAGAGGTAACGATCTCCACTGAGATGAGAAAAATAATTAAGAACCATATAATAAGATGTTTTATTAATGACACACATGTCTCCATCGCTCCAAGGAAATTGGGCAATCCGTTCCTACACCACAGCTCTCCAACAAGGGTTTATATTTACCATCAGTTTAACAGTGACTTGCTAAAGTGCTCTCCCATTCCCTTGGTTTGGCTCGAAGGAGGAGGGGACAAAGGAAGGATTTATTTATTAATGGCACCCGTTGAGGACCAGTCCTGTGGCACAAAGCAGGGTAAAAGAGGAATAGAAAAGAGCCTTGCAAAGAGAGTCCCTGCTTAGCTCATAGGTCTGTTTTAAAAGAAGGGCTTCAGCAATGTAATGACAAATGTGAAGCACTTGAAAAAAATATCTCTAGGAAAAATACTTCCTCCAAAAAAAAAAACCCCAACCCAGCTTGGTTTCCCTCTACAAATCTAGGTCTGACCTCAGCTGAGCTGGTGTCAAAGGTTTTCAGTGGGAGCAGGAGCAGATCCATCAGGGAATTTGCAAGTCTTGGTGAACCTGAGTTCAGTGGCAGGCCTGCATGGCACAGCCCTGGGACACGAAACTCATTTTCACTGCCCTTCATAGAAAGCATGAGGTTGACATGTCTGAAAACTGAGGTCCTGTCTCGATCTCTGACCAAACCCTCCACAAGACAAGCTTTTCTGGCCTGCTCTGCCAGCTTGCCTCGAGGACAGGAGCACACAGGAGCATCCGCTCCTCCCGCCCTCAGGCTGGCACCGACGGTGCAGCCACCGAGGAGATGACTCACCAAGGTGCTGAGCACCTTCCCTCTTCCCACTGAGCTCTAATTTACTTAATCACCACAGATTAAAGCCTGTCTAATTAAGGGCAGGCGTTAGATCTGATGGGGACTCTGTTCCTGTGCTGTTCACACACTCGCTGGCTGGGCAAGTCCGATGTCCTTCACCTCAAACAGAAATGTTTTCTTCCTCTCCCAGCAGAAGTTCAAAGTGTGCATTTCACCTGACAGAAGAGGGTATAAATGAACCTATAAAAAGTGCTTTAGGTCCCAGAAATATTTTGGAGGAAACTTTTTCTCTGTCACAGGTGTTTACATCCACGGGCTGGGTTCCAGCAGGGATTCAAAAGCTTATGAGTGGGCTGAAGAAAGAACAAAATATTGCTGGGAGGGATACAGAGAGAAGCTCACTTGTCACATGCTCCAGCATGACCATAGCTCTGCATGGAAACCAGAGGGGACCATGAGCCTTCTCTGTAAGGACTGCCTTGCTCTGCTAAGCTGAGCTCTACTGCAGGCACAGCCCCAAGTGATGTGGCACTGATATCAGTCCTGCCTCTCCCACTTCTTGCTGTGTAGCCTTGAGTAAGTCACTTAACCTCCTTTAGATGCACACTGTACAGCTAGGGGGGCATGGATATTCCCTTTCTGCCATCTTTTGGATGATGGGATTGTGAGGTATGGACACATATCTGACATTTGAATAAATAATAATAGCAATATTTAGCTTCTCTAAGGCACTTAAGCACAAGCAGGTCTTGAAGTGTTTTCTAAAAGATGTAAAATTTTATTATTCTTGATTGGAAAATAGGGCCTTAACCCTGGCAGGAGCGTCTAGAGATGACCACAGCACCTTTCATTCATGTTGTCTTTGAAATTCAGCCAGTAACTGAGGTGCCTCACAGGATCATCCACCTGTGGTTCCTGCCTCTCATTTATCAGTGCACATTCACTTCTCCCTGACCTCCAGGAGAGCTGTGTGCCTGCTTAGTTTACAAACAGGCTTCAGTAGGCGTTTGCTGGGCTGGCTCACTGGAGAAGCTCAAGTTTCACTTCCCAAAATGATGAAGCACTTGTTTAACAGTTGTTCAGCTGGATGGTGCCATGAAGTTATTTAACCCTGCCAAGGTTTCACTATGAGAAAAGACAAAGTAGTTGAGGACTAGCGTGATCAGGGCCTTTCTTTTTTTTAAATTATTATTATTATTATTGAAAAGTGAATAATTCCAACAGAAGAAGCCTAACACTGGGATAAACCAGGGGGTGTGCAGCACACTGGGCATCACAGCTGCCCACCCTGGCACTGTCACCGTGCGGCCAACACGGCGTTGAAGATCTGCAAAGGGTCTCCTGTTGTAACAGGTCACAAAACGATGTGCCAAGGGCTTCCCACGGGTCTCACAGCTCCCTTCCAGCACAGGTTGGGTTTGTAGGAGGCACAGCAACCAGCAGAGTCAGCTTTCTAGTGAGAGAAGAGACCACTGCAGGGTCAGGCTGGGAAACAGGGTACTGAGAGCACCGTCTGTGCTGCCAACGCAGCGACAACGAGGGAGGGAGAAGTGGTCTGTCAGCTGGGAAGAACACGAGCCCGAGGCCAAAAGCAGGGATATCTGCCCCAGAAGATGCAGGAACTCTCCCCCTCAGCAGACCCTGCAGGATCACAGCCCCCAGCAGCTGGAGATTTGGGTGCTGCAGACACCCAGCACCAGCAGTGCCCTGAGCC